CCGGGCTGTGGTTTATCACTGCTGCAGCGCCGAGTGTCTGTTCCTAACGCCAATTCTGCTCTCTCGAAGCCGAGCGCCATCAAATCATGGGGACACTGATGAACCTCAGCTCTGAAGATGTTTTACTCATCCAGTACCAACCGCAGGGGGAGAGGACGTATTTGGGACTGTATCTCTACGGTACGCAAACTCCTTCCTGAAATAACATAAAGCTATCGTGGGACACCAAACACGCACACCAAACCACCAGCTACCGCCATGCAGCAGCTTGGTTTTGCCAACACGTGGTGATTTTCCCGAGACAGCAGCTCCAGGGGTCAAGGGAGTGCTCACCATCCCATTAAAACCTAAATCTCCTGGCAGAGCAGCAAGACCAAGTTAAAGACAAAACCCGCTCGCACCATAAATATTCAAAGAACAGGAAGCAAATACAATTCAGCATCGATATGATCGTAAAATCTCAATATTTTCAAGCCAGCCATGATTTTTCGGTACTTACCTCCCAGGGCAGAGCACGTGGCTTTGCTCCACCGGCACAGGCAGAGCCGATCAGATCTACCCACAAGCCCGTAACGCAGCGTTTCAGACCTAGATAAGGCTTCCCGTTGCCCTTCCAAGCTGCAGAGCAGTTTCTTGGGAGAGTTTGGAGACACATATAGAAAATGGCCTCCATACTCATCCTCAGTCCCTCAGCACACCCCAAGAGCATCAGACCATCCCGCAGCCCCTTACCGCAGACAGGAGCAGAGCCGACTGGGGAGAGGGTTCAAAAAGCGATGCCCGAGGTGGTTTTGTTCGGGTGTATTCACCATGGGAGTGAGAGACCCCAGCAGAGACCCCCGTCCACAGCGAGCGCTGGTGGGAGGACGGGGCAGGGAGGCAGCGGGGGCAGGGACGCAGCGCGAAGGGCCATGCCAAGGCCACCAGTCCCTGTCTAACACCCAGCAAATGCTTCTCCTTCCGCAGCCCGAAACCTGAGTGCGAGCACAGCCCACCGGGAAGAGTTCGAGCGCCGCGCCAAGTCCCTGGGGCTGAGCGAAGAGCGGATCGTGTACGCGCCATGGAAAAGGGTACGGGGCTGCTGGTGGGTGGGCGAGGGTTGGCAGAGCCCCCTCCCCGGGCAGGGCTGCCAAGACGCCACACTGTGGCTCCAGCTGCCAAACTGGGGCCTTGGAGAGAAGGCTTAGGGGGAGCTCAGTAACCACAGGCTTGCTTCTGCAGCAACGGTGGTTTAAAAGAACACAGCCTCCCTCCCCGCAGATACCTGACTCCCCAAAGCAAATACCTGCACCCAAGTGTCTCCAGCAGGAAACGTGGCAATGGCCCGCCTACCCTGCCAGGGGGGAGACAGCTAAAGCGTGGGGTTTTTGCCCTGAAGTTCCTGATTTTGCCCCGAAGTTCCTGATTTCGCCCCCCCAGGAGCTGCAGCCAGGGGCAGGAGGGGCCGGTGCACGGACCCCCTTCAGAAGAAGCCACCGC